AAAAATGTTAAGAAGTCTTAAAATTTCTTCAAATTTTTAGTCTAGTATATAATAGTTTCAAAAAATTTATCCTAAAATGATTGCTGTATAACAAATAAAAACAAATAAAATGACAAGCGTGCATAATCATGCCCTTTGTCAACATATTTCAGGTTTAGGGCTGTAAAATACTATTCTGTGCAATAATCTTTATAGTGAGAATTATACAGCAATATATTATACACTGATTACTCACTCAGTAATAACATTTATAATGCTTTAAATTAAAAAAAAAAAAAGACTTTAATAAAGAGATAAAAATATATACTGCTACTTTAAGGTGACTCCAAACATCACTGATGATCAACTGTGGAAGAGATAGGCAAAAATAAATATGTATACATTTACTTACAGGCTAGGCCAATAACTGACTGGCTACTATCCAATTTGTTTCTTTGTTAAAATTTACTTGTTTTCTTAAAAAAAGAAAGAAACCCAAAAGTTCCAAAGTTTACCAGCTGAAACCAGTAGAGATGTCTTGTATGTTTCTTTTTTTTTTTTTTTTTTTTTAGTACCATTGCACAGTGGTCTGAAAAACTTGATTTTTGGCCCAAATTAAAATTATGATGTTTTTATACTAAATCAATAATGCTGAATCTAAATCTAAATCTGAAAACAGTTTTTGATTTAAAGGTTTTGTTATTCAGATATCGCATAAGCCGCCCAGTCAAAAATTTCAGAAAAAGTTTTCATTTTTTTGCTTGTGGTTGCACAACATATCAGATTTTTATATATATATATATATATATATATATATATATACACACACACACACACAACCCTCGGAATTAGGGTCGGCAAATTATTGCCTACCTCACTTTTCCTAATTCCGAGGGTTGTTTTTCACAAGTTTTTTATCAATATTTTTGAATAATAAATAATTAAAATCACAAAGGAAAATTTCTAAAATTTGTCATCAATTGGGTATTTATTTTTTCATGAAAAGCTACTATTCTAATTTTCAATTTAATAATCAATCTAAAGATATATAAGTCAATACATTAAATTAAAAACCATAATATAAAAAGTATATGAACAATACGAATTAACTATTTGCAGCTGATTTTTTTAGGAATTATTAAACGATAATAGATGTTCAAAATATACTATAAATATAACGTTTTAATTGCCGACTTGGCGTTTTACATAGATTTTAAACTTACCTTACTTTAAACTAAATTTTAAACTTATTTTACATAGATTTTAAACTTACCAAAATATGCATTTTTTCAAGTATTTTCATCTAGTTTAATATATAGAATATTTTATAAAAATAAAAAAAAAATGAATATTTGAACTACTTTTAACAATTTAGGTAGCAAATACGATTGTATAAAGAAAAAAAAATGTTTTTGACATGTATTTGATGAAATAAAACAAAAATAGTGACGCTAGTCTTTTTGATAACATAAAAAAAGTATGTTTTGGGAGCTTTAAAGTTGGTTTAAATAATTTTATTTGCAGCTGATTTTTTTTTTTTTTGAATAATGTATGGATATTTTTATAAAATCATATCGATCAAGTCCATGCATGCGGACATAAGTTTTAGGAAGAAGTTGAAATTGAAAAAAAAACTTTTATTTTATGCTAGTTTCAAACATAAATAGCTTATGCAAATATACAATAATAAAAAATTATTATTATTTCAAATTAAACTCTATACTATAAAATTTTTTTAAAAAAAAATCTATACATATGTGCATATAGTTTTAAATTTATACACAAATGAAAAAATATTGTATTTTTGAAAGAAATTATTCATCAGTTTTTAATCGCTCTTGGATATGGCTATTGACTTTCAAGAAAAATTATGAAACCTATATATTTTTGAATTGCCTGGACAATGTTGTATAGGTAATAAAAATTATAGGTAATAAAAATAACAAAAATTATCTACTTTTTTTTATTTTTAATTTTGGCCAAAAATCAAGTTTTTTAGATCACTGTGCATTGTTGTAAATATATCGCATCAAGATAACTAGCAGTTATATGAGAACACATGTAAAAAGTTAAACCTTGTTTTTTTTATCAAACTAAATAACAATAGTTATAATAATTTGTTATATAATATTTAATTGAATAATTCGAAAGTTTATTTATTATGTAATTTGAAGCAATTGGTTCTTCTATTGCTCACAACTTTACACAAATTTGACTTTCAAAAAGTATTTTGGTTGGTAGGATTTTTTCTTAAAAATATTTTGGTTGGTAGGATTTTTTCTTAAAATTGTTTTGGTTGGTAGGATTTTTTCTTAAAATTATTTTGGTTGGTATGATTTTTTCTTAAAAGCAAGAGAGCAATAATTTGACTTTTTTGTTTGTTTTTAAAACACCTTAAGTTAAAAGAAGGTCGTTTTAATATAGTCTTTTTTTTTTTTAATAACTCCTATTTATTAGGGTAGAGCAGGACATATCGGGACAGTGGGGCATAACGGGACAGTTAGGCCTGAAGCCTTATATCTCAGCTAAAAAACATTTTTTCAAGTTTTTTATAAAACATTTTAAATTATTGTGCTTCATTATTGTAAAAAAAATAATTTTAAAAATACCTAAATGCATTAAAAGTACCAAAGTGCATCAGTAAGTTTGTGAAAAACAAAATTTTCGTAATTTATTAAGCAATACAACGACAAAAGATCTTGAACTATTTATCTTGAACTCCAATAGTATGTTCAAATATAAATCTTGCGTGATAAGTAGAGACAATATAGCTATCACACAAAACAGACTCAGAGTAATTAAAAAATGATTAGCCAGAGATAAAAAAATATACAAATATTAAATCAGTAGGCAGAGAATAATGAGAAAAGAAAGAGATGAGACAATAAATGCGATTTTTTACTAATAACTTAAAACCACTGAAAAATGTAGTGTTAAAAAACAATATTGTTGTCATTAGGTTATGGAGTGTTGGAACCACATCCAGCAGGATAGCTGGATGTGGTTACAGCGTTCAATTGGAAAAAGTCGGGGCTCACCAGCCACAAAGAATAAATTTTTTTGTTTATGCAGCACAAAGATCGCAAAAGTGACCAACAGAACCCTCCAGTTATGTAAACCTGGTGTAAACAAAACTTTCGTATTTTTGTAAGCAATACAACAACAAAAGATTTATCTTGAACTATTGCTAATTTGCTTTATTTATAAAAAGTTTAGATTTTTCAGAAATATTTTAAACACTTTTAGAATCTGGTTTTAAAAAAATATCTGGAATTGAACTTCTTGAATAGTATTAATTTCAGTAAAATGACTTGTGTAGGGCATATTGGGACAATAAGTAATTTATAAATATTTTTTTTACTTATTTAGAAAATGCATTTAAAGAAACTGTTATTTTTATAACTTAACTAAATTATAGTGTTGAATGTAAATAAAATGTAAGAAATTATGTAAGTCTTTCAAAATGGGATGAAATGCAGTTTTAGCTGTGAGTAAAATAGAACTTAGAATTAGAAAAGTAGCTGTGATCAAAATGGAACTAAGAATTAGAAAAACTGATTCATATTTAAATTTTCTCTACATTGGCATACTGCTTTATTTTTTATCATTTTTAAAGCTTTGCAATTACAAATAACTGCGGCTGTCCTATTTTGGCCCACCCGCTTGCAAAATTTTTACTTTTTTTTTTTTTGGGTTTACAAGTTTTGTTACTTTGGTTGTCTTTTTTTTTGTTTTTTCACTTTCTTATATCAGTGAATTTTAAAAATTAAAAAAAACAAACAATATTAGCTATGATTAGTTTATCCGCAACTGTTTCTTAACTGTCCCTAAATACCTGCTCTACCCTAAGTAAAGAACCAGGAATGTGGAGTCCCAAAAGAACTTTTGCTTTATATCTCTATTTTTTCCTGGTCTCTGATGTCCAGATGCTCTAAACATGTTGGTGGTTTTATGATCTGCTATAATAAAAAAAATCCATGAGATTTAATGACTTGGAACTTTTTGTTTTTAAGTTCAGATTCTTGAAGTCCTTGCCACAATTATACTTAAAGACTCTATGTTAAAAAATTGATTGTTTTTCTAACCTAAAAAACTTAATTTTTTCTTTAAAAGTCTCTCATAAACTTCTTTACATATTAAGAGCTCCTTGATACCAAAAACCAGGAAGAAATAATCTTTTTATGACTTTCAAATCCTTTTTAAGAGTCCTAAGATATCCATGAAAAAGTACTTAATTCATCAGGATTTTTTTTTTTATTACAAGAAAAGAACTTATTTAAGTTCTATATTTTATAGCTAAGACAAGTGGAGTTTGGGATAATTAATTTGTTGCATTAACAGGTATACTGATGTAAACATTGACCTGAATATGTCACTGATTAGCATTATTTTTGTTTTGATGTTTTTTAATTTTATTATTTTTAAAATTTTTTTGGGTCAGAAAAAAACCCCAAATTTTTTGCTAAAGACATAAATGTTATAAAAATATAAAAATTTATTTAAACAAAACTTTTTATGTCAAAATTTAACTGTTTAAATATTTATATTATAACTTCATGAAAATTGGTGATCAGTCAAAAAATTGAAGTGTTCATAGTTTTACACTAAAACTGGAAAACAAAATTTCATTAGACTTCTTAGATAAAAACTTTTGTAACAGTATGTGTAACTAAATGGTTTCATTAGACTTCTTAGAAAAGAACTTGTGTAACAGTATGTGTAGCCAAATGGTTTATAGTTTTGCACTATAAGGTTAGTTTTTAACACAAGTTTTTATCTAAAATTTGTTTAGACATGGAACAATTTTATAAATGCTTTTTTAAAATTTTTTTGATAATGGAACACTTTTTTTTTGATGATGGAACACTTTTTTTTTTGATGGTGGAACACTTTTTTTTTGACAATGGAACACTTTTTAGCATAAAATTGTTCTATTGATACTTATATTTTTGTTTATTGGAATATTGTTAACCCATTTGAAAATTTTTTCCCTGTTGTTTTTTTATTGAATATTGTTTTAGAGTTTTCAAATGGAAAATTGAATTCTTCTGCTAATATTTCTTACGATATACCAGTAGAAATGCCAGAAACAAATACTTCTAGTTATAGTTCTTGTGATGTGCCAGATTTGGAAAGTGAAAGTGAAATGGAACATGATAATTGTTTTAATGAAGATGATCTAAGTAGAATGGTTACTGAAGATAATTTTGAAACAAAGCTGAATGAAAAAATGGATCAATTTGCAAAACAAGTTTATTCAGAAAGTTCTTCTAATAACCAGCCTGTGATGAGGCGTCGATCTACACAAGAATTCAATCTTAAAAAATATAAATTATCAAAAATTGCTGAAAACTGTGTAGTTGATGATTCTGAAGATGAGATAATCCTCACTAAGTTTGGTTCTAACCCCTGTATTGCATCAGCTTTAAATGAAGAAGTAAATTCTAACACCACAACTTCAGTGTTAGAATGCGAAGATAATAGTTCTCATTTCCCTTCCAAATGGCGATCACACAGTGTTGCACCATTGAATCAGTCTGAGATTGAGGCAGTAGATATTAAACGAAGAGCAATAAGTGACATTTCAGACATTGAAACTTCAAAAAAAGTATGTTGTTTTTACACTTACCATTTTTTTGATACTAAAATTAAAAATAAAATTTAAAAATCTAATAGAATTATTTAAAATTTTTGATTGATGGATTGTAGAATAAAAACATAATTCATAAAGATAATAAAACATGTTTTAACTAATATTTTATCATTTCAAATTAGAATTGATTTTTAAAATTGTTTTGAAAATTGAATGTAAAAAGCTGTTTAAATAAATCATATTTTTTATATATTTCTTAATCTTTTTAGCAATTGCGACCATTTTAACACTTAATTAATTGTTGTTATATATTTTATTGTTGTTTTTTTTTGTTTTTTTTTTCTCATCCAATTTATAATAATCGCTTTTTTTTAATATTTATATGTAATGGTTATGGTAAAATATGTTTAAAATTGGGCTTAGCGAGAGTAAATTTGCTTTCTTCTTACTCCAGCCATTGTTTTTATTATATGTGCATGCATTGTATATATTTGTAAACAGCAAAAAAAAACTAATAATAATAATAAATGCTATAATTGAAACAATAAATTTTTTTTACGGAAATTGTTTAAATATCCAAATAATTTTTGTGTTACTTTTGATATTAAGAGATGTGATACTTGAAACATGAAACCTGAAATAACTAAAAAACTTTTATTATTTGGAAGGGTTTAGTTTATTATCTTTAGGTTTGTGGTTATCAAGCAAACTTGTGGTTGTCAAGCAAAACCTAGTTTTACTTCTGGGCTTCTATTTAATTCATTTAACTCTATTATTCTTTGTTGTGTATTTGTTTAGAACTTTTTTTCTGTGTCATTCATTTTGAGAGCATAAACTCTTGAATCTGTTATGCATTATTTTTTTCCAACAGTCTATAAAAAGTCTGTAATTACTATAAACTGGTTTTACTTATAAATTGCTACAAAAGCACATTGAATAATTTGCTTCAACTTGTTGGATCTCTACTAATAACTTTAACTTTTCAACCAAGTTTAGCAACTTGGTCTGATCTTAAAATAATTTGGGCTGTATTACATTCCCTAAAAAATTGAGCAAGGTGCACAAAAAGTTAATGTGCAGTCTATATAATAATAATTACATTCTTCACTTCAGGTTGCAAGTTGAAAGGAATGCAACGATGAACAAACTTGTACTTTGACGAATCTGGACAAAGGGAAGCTTTGTCTGATTGGTCATATACCAGTTTTAAAATTGCATGCATCATTAAGAAAACCTTTTTATGATAAAGGATAAAGATGTTGCTTGGGTTGTGATGTTAGTTAAGTGACTGATGTTGATAAAAATGTTGAAATATTGAATGTTGTAATATTGAAATGTTGTTCTTTTCTTCTCTCTATCTCAGAATCAGATTCAGTGTGTAATTCTGAAAATTTAATTTAATAAAGATAAATTTGCGCAGTAATTTAAAAACCCACCAATAAAAAATTATGCTAAAGCTATTTGCGCATTGTATGAAACATTAAAATTGATTTTTGTTTTGGCGGAAACTTTGTGGAAATATTTATTTAAAAATTTAAATGTTTTAAATCAGAAATTAATTGATAACAAGAATAAAATTAATTAAAAAAATACATTTTAAAACAAGCTATTAGAGTTTTGTTTGTTGTGTTTCAAAATAACTATAAAAAATTTAATTTTTATAATAGTTTTTAGTTGTTAAATATTTTTAAACATTTCTGTCTTTAATTTTGTATACATGTCTGCTAAAGAGTTGTGAGGATTTAATTAATAAAAAAAATATTGAATAAGATTGAAATATGAGTATGAACCATATAAAATGTGGTTCCTTCACAGCTTGTATGATTCACTTTTCAAAATTCAATGCATTTTACTGGCATTTGAAATGTTAATTGAATAATACAAATTTATATTTAACTCTTTTTAAATTACAATACTGGTTTCCACAATACTGGGTTTTCACAATTTGGAACGCAAATGGAATTTGGTTTCATTGAGCATTTTGTGCTCTCAAGTGGTAAAAACTTTGTCAATAAGTTAAAGCTTGATTTACCCTTACCACATTAAACTATCTGAAAATATAAAAAATTTAAATCTACTATATTAATATAATATTTTGTTGATTTTTTTAAAAAAAAAGCAATGATAATACATTCTTAATTTAGGATAATCATGAGATAAATTTTAAAGAAGCATTGATGGCTTGTAAAACTAATATTAACTAAAATTTGATCTAAGTACACATTTGCATCTTAAAAATATATTCAACTAGTGTTACTTATTTAAGTTTTCCAAAGCATTTTTTTAAATGCATGTTTATCTGAGCTTAATGCCAAACTGTTAATAGTGAATAGTGATAAGATCACATTGTTAAGAACATAGTAAATTATAAAGTGATGCTATTGGTGATGAAGTTGCTAGACACATTGAGTTTAAATTTTGCTGTTTAAAAACCTAATATTTATCATAATTTACTACTTAAAGAAAAAGTAATTGCTGACACACAAAGTTATGGTTTTAAGTTTTGTGATTTATACTTCTATCCATATAGTCTTCATAATCATACATATAAGTTTAGGTATATTATTTTGTAATATATTTGTTTTTAAGCTTTCTCACTCATTGCTCATACAAAAATAAGGTTTGAAAAAAAAATGCAAAAAACTCAGCTAAAAGCAAAATTAGGAGAAAAATAAATTCTGGATTTTTCCCTGATATTTTACCCAAACAATTTTTTGTATTTTTAAAATATGAACTGGAGGATCTTTGCTTTTAATAATTATTTTTTATATTAAAAAATCATATGCAATAAAAAGTTTTATAACAAGGCAAAATTTTCATTTTAGATTCACCTAAAACATGATTATTTATTGTACATATGGCTTACACTAAATATATTAAATGATTTTTTAGACTCCGCTGTAATCTGGTGTAGTATTATTTGTATACACCCCTAATTTTGTTGTTGTATTTGTATGCACTCCTAATTTTTGGTTGTTATAACTGTTGAATAACAAATTTTACTTGTTTAAATTTATAGTTATATATAATTAGTTATATTTATACAGTTTATTATATTATAATAAACTGCATGAATAAACTCATAATATCATTAAATTAATTTATTAATAATTATCATTGAGACACTTTTATGATATAGTACTTTTAATTTATAACTTTTTTTTTGATCACTGTAATAAACATGGTATCTATAATTTACTATTTATTTTTTGGAAAACTTTAATTTAAAGTGTTTTTGGTAAGTTATTTATATCTATTTCCTTTCTTACTTATAAAACTATTTTTTAAACTTTAATTTTTTATACACTGTCCTCCAAAACATAAGCACAACTATTTAAAAAAAAAACTTTTTAAATGTAGTCAAATAGTTAGTGTTGTACCTAAAAGATTTGTACATAATGCGACTACATGTTGTTTTGCATTTATCAGTATTTTTATGTAAAAACGCGGTCTTCCAAAATATTAGCAAAATCTTTTCAGCATAGACTCAATGAGTTTATAAATTTTTTATTGTGTAATCTATTTTTCCTCAAGAATATAACTATAAACAAAGTGATCCATAATGGCATTTATTTGATGAATAAGTCTGACTCAACTAAAACTAGCTCCAAACCATTGCACCTTTTCCACCACCATTTTTGACTGACTTTTTGACAATTACCAAATTCTACATTGACAATTACCAAATTCTACATACCTCCTAATATATTATTTTTAAAATTTTTATATAATTTCGCTTCATTTGAGTACCAGGTTGACATATTAGGGACCCATTAAATATTCTAGGGTCTTGAGGGACCCCTTAAAATATTTTTTATTCAAAAAAAATTTAAACCTAGTGTTTTTGTATTAGATAGAACACATTTAGGGGGTGAGAGCAGATTATTTTCAAAAATGTTGTTATTTGGGACACCCTAATATATACACACATATATATATATGTATATATATATATATATATATATATATATATATATATATATATATATATATATATATATATATATATATATATATATATATATATATACAGGGTATCATATCTTGATGCCTGCAGGGGTAAGCAAAACGTTTTTAAAAAATACAAAGGAATATAAAAAAAATCGAGTAGTTTGTAAATATCTTTTTATGAAAATTAGTTCGTAAATGTCTTTTTATGAAAAAAGAAGTTCGCTTTTGAATTCATCCCCTGATATGTAGGCTAAATTAAATCTTTGATAGCTGTGATAAGCCAAAGTTAAGTTATTAGATTTATTAACATCATAATTTAGAATTTCTTATGTTATTTTTCTATTAGTATTTAATAACAATTAATTTTCTATAATTTTGAGAATTATTATTAAATTTTAATTTATGATTTAGCAAACTTTATTAGGCAAATGGGATTTTTTTAAATCAGGAATTTTAATTTTATGAGCATTTGGGAATACCGCGTTTAATGGGACTCTACAGGGCTAGTTTACACCCTGTACACATTGAACAAATATTAGGCATTTTATAAAAAATTTAAGGATTTTTACCCTATGAAGTTTGGCTATTTTTAAGGTCTTTTATATAATTTTAAGTGGGTTGGCTAAAACTATAAGGTTTTTTTTGTCATAAATCTTCATGTTGCATCAAAACTGTCTCTCAAGTAATAAAAGGGACACTTTTTTATTTTTATGTTTCAGACCACTAAAATATATATACAGGGCTTGCCATGAGATTTTATTGGATAACAAAAACGTCTAATGCTAATAGCTTTAATCTTCTTTTTGGCATTTTGACTATAACTTTTATCTAAAACTAAATATATGTTAAATAAATTTTTTTTAATTTTTTTAGTTTTTATAAATGTTTTATGATATTTACAATTTTATTTATTTTTAATTTAATTCATGTTTATTTAATTTTATTGGGGTTTATTATTTAATTTAAAGCTTTTTTGATTATCAAAGTAAGGGATTTATAATTTTTTTATTCATGCTTTTCTTTTTTAATTTTTGATGCAGGTTTCAAGTATGTCTACGGTAATGAGCAATCTTCCGGATAACAGCATTATTACAAGTGTTAGTGGGAAAGTTGATCCTCTCCTCTCTTCATTAATTAATTATGTACAACCTCAATCTTTCAAAGGTTTTGAATATGCAGAAGGTATTTAATATGCTATTTGTTAGTTATATGTTTAGTTATTATTTATTTTTTTATATCAATTATAATTATAAAGTTTAAAATTATTTTAATTCTAGTTAGTTAAAAATAATATTCAATTAATTCTACTAATTTTCAATTAATTTAGTTAAGCTCAGTTTAAAAACCTTTTAATTAATTTTTGTAATTTGTACTAGTGAGAAACTGAATTAAGGACATTTTGACTGATTACAAAATCTTGGAGATATTGTAATTGAAATACTATTTTTTGTTTACACATTTGAAGAATTTAAATACCTTCTTTGTTTGATTTCCGCATAAGGTTTTAAAAGAATTGTATACATTATGATATCAGTTATAAAAAAGATATAAGTTATAAACATACCATATATTTTAATACAAATATGGACGTTAACTTTTGAAACATATAGCAGTGCCATCATTAGTAGACTTAAAAATCTATATTTATATATAAGGGGTAGTCAAAAAAAGTAAGTTTTTAAATCTAAAAAACCATACCCCTTAAATTTGAGGCAAATATATAAAAAATTAGCCTCAAAAAGTTTGAGTTCTATCAGATCACTTTTGACCCCCCCCCCCATCTTCCCCCTCCCCCCTATCTTCCCCCTCCCCCATCCTCAAGCAAATAATTTAGGGAAAAAGACCAAAAACTTGTCATTTTTGGGGATCTTTAGGGAGGGGTAATTTTTTTTTTTTCAAGTTTTTATTTTTATATATATATATATATATATATATATATATATATATATATATATATATATATATATATATATATATATATATATATATATATATATATATATATATATATATATATTAGGGTGTGTCAATTTTAGACTTTTTTTGAAAAAAAAGTATAATAAAATTTGGGATATAAGTAAAAGTTGCAAAATTTTATGGAGAATCTAAATCTGTTAAAATTTTTTAAATCAGAAAAATAATTAATTAGGTGATTTTTTATGTATTTAACAGTTTTTATTTCCTTTTAAACAGAATAATGATGTTACCGGACAATACTGTAGGTTAAAAAAAAACAGAATTTTAAACAACAAAATAAAGTTACATTAAGTTTATAAAAAAACCATTTAACTTAATATGTATAAAGTATTTGAAATGTTTTTGTATTAAATGCGTAAAATAACTTTTTATTAAAAAAAAAAAAGTTTTCTCAAACGTAATTTTTTAATCTTAATAATGGTCAGTAAATTAATTTTTTATTGCCACATTTAGTAAACAACTACGAACTGCATATTGTTAAATATAAATTTAAGAACTTTTGATCAATTGCTTTCATTCTTAAAATATTTTAAAGATATTTTTTTTTTTCATTGTTAAACAATAAAAAATTCTCTTTAAATATTTTATAACTTGGAGGAATAATAGCACCCAAAACCAAAATAAGTATTAGTACGCAAATTAGTGTTGCATTTGGTACAGGAAAACAATTTCTAGTTTCAGATTTACCAACCAACAGAGACGTTATAAGATATGTAATTTTATTAAGAGAGGGGTGCAAAGACATAAAAAAAAGAAATTATCCTGTAAAAGAGATGGCTAAAGATATACTTCCAGCCTTATTACACCAGTGGTCGAGTGCAAATTTGGAATTTACATCACCTAAATTAATTACTGACAAAACAATTTGTGATAAAATAGTGACTTTGTGGAACAACGCTCCAGCAATAGCTTGTCCAAGAAAAAAAGGAGCTAAACAAAAAATAAACTTTAAAGAAAAACTTGATAAAATTTTTTATATACTAGTATGCAAATGTCCAATTGTAAAATGTAATGATTTTATTTGTTCTGATGGTTGTAATAAAGAAGTTCATTATAAATGCAAATGTATCAAAGAGTACAAAATACCATCTATTGATGTTAAGTTTATATATTTTCAAAGAATTAAAACAGGAACTGTTAGCAAGTTACAAATTGGATCACCTGACAGTATTTAACCAGGAAACAATTCAAAAGATTACTTAGAAAAGATCGAGAAAAATGTTTTGAGAATAAAGACAGCAATGTTATTTTAACTAAAAAACAAAAAATTCAGTCAGATGAGATTAAATTTCAAAAATAAAGTGATTTCAGTAATGAAATAATTAAATGATAACATTGATGATATTACTAATATAGAATTACCTCTAGTGCTAGAGATACCATCAGGAAAAAAAAAAGTGTTACAATACCTTAGATATTTCACACATAGCTATGAATAGCGTAAGGTATAGTTCTTTTTAAATAAATTTGTTTTTTAGTAATGTATTTATACTTATAAATGTATATATGTATGTATGTATATATATATATATATATATATATATATATATATATATATATATATATATATATATATATATATATATATATTTATATTTATTTATGATCTTAGTCAATGATCATTTTTTATTTAAAAGTATTTTCTATTTTTATGTAAATTTTGCTCACATAGATATGGGTTGTCTGCACGTGCTACAGCTTCAATTGCTACAGCAACACTAATTGATGCAGGATTAATAACATCTGATGATAAAAAGTTAGTTATTGACCATAGTAAAGTTTCAAGAGCGCAAGAAAAAGTTATCTCTGATTTTAGTAAGGATTTTGACAAAAAGTAAAAAGTGGAGAAGTGAAATGCATATTTTTTGATGGGAGAGTTGATCAAACCAAGCAAATGATTGAACTTGATGACTCAAATGCAAAATTTCCAGTAACAGTGAAAGAAGAACATTACTCTGTTTGTATGGAACCTAGAGGAAAATATTTATTCTAATAAAGTCTTTACTGGCTGTTGGTGGAGACTCTACAAATGTAAACACCGGTTGGGAGGGTGGAGTTATCAAACAGATAGAAATAAAAATAGAAAAAAAACTTGTTTAGCTTATATGTCAACTCCATACAAATGAGTTGCCACTGAGGCATCTTATAACCAATTTAGATGGTCAAACGAAATCAAACAATAAATGGTCTGGTGTTATGCTTTCCATGCTTGATCATGCTACAGATCTAGATATAAATCCAGTATTTTGAAACTATTAAAATTGGCAATCCACTTATTTCTCTCAATGATAAAATAATAAATGACCTATCTGCAGATCAATTTTATGGTTATAAAGTTGTTTGTGCCATTAGAAGTGGTATTTTACCACCAAAATTTCGTTTATTACAAATTGGGTTTGTTTCACATTTAAGATGGTTACATATATATATATATATATATATATATATATATATATATATATATATATATATATATATATATATATATATATATATATATATATATATATATATATATATATATATATATATATATATATATATATATATATATATATATATATATATATATATATATATATATATATATATATATATATATATATATATATATATAATTTAAATTTAAATAGTGATTTATTTTATCAAAAGTATTATGTACTGCTGAGCGAAAATCTACTAGCTTCACACTTCAGTGATATAACTTTGAGCAATACACTACTCACTGAAATGTCTGCCATTATATTAAATAATCTTTCTGATATAAATCCAAATATAATTGAATCTGTAGGTACAACTCAAGAAATAACTGATATAGAGAAAAAAAGAGTTTACAATATTTTATTGGATATATATTTCAGAGATTGTATACTAAATTTCAAAGTAGTAAAAATTTATGTAAGTATAGCCAACTGCGTGTTTCAATTTTACTGCGCTGCAGGGTTATGGAAGATGATACTCAGGCACTTATAAATATTAGAGATAGAGGGAGTTTGTGGAAAGTAAACAATATAATTCAGGATCTTTTTCTAACATGTGAGATTATTTTTTGTAAAAAAACAACAAAGTTTTTTCAAAACTTGATCCTGAAGTTCTAATTGAGTCCATGTCAACAAATTATATTTTTCTATCTCTTTATAAACAAGTTTGCAATGATTCAGAATTAACCAAAGTTAGTAAGAATTTGCTAGAGCACTTAATTACATTATTTGTAAGAGTTCGTTCATTTTCTTATGCCAAAGATATTATTGAAAAGCATAAAATGAGAAAGAATACTTGTAAGACTCGTTCATTGCAATGTGAAATTAAGAAAGCAAGTGAATGAAATTGAAATTGAACATAAAAGGCTATTTTCATAGCCACATATCTTTTTAAAATATTAATGGCACATAAACTACATAAATTCTGTTTAAAAATTTACTTAATAGTTACTTTATATAATAAGATGATCCTTCAATAAACTTAGGGTTAGGGTCAATTATTTCTAACTTTTATTATACTTACATCAGTATTTATATATATATATATATATATATATATATATATATATATATATATATATATATATATATATATATATATATATATATATATATATATATATATATATATATATATATATATATATATATATATATATATATATGTATATATCTTTGTGATAACGCCTGGGAGGGCATCGGGTTGTAAAAAATTGCTTCAATTCGTTCATAGTGGCATATTTATGTCACTATGGAGAACCATCCAAACCACACAAGTGTGGAAACATGGATGTAAACATGCCAAATTATATATATATATAGCGAGGAACAATTACAAACACTTATTAACTGTATATACTTTAGCAACTGTATATACTTAATAACTGTATATACTTAATAACTGTATATACTTATAACCTAACCTGACACTATATATATGCAGTTATTAAATTTATTGATTTATTAATTAAGTATACGTGTTACCCAGCAATTTATTATTTTGTTATTGAAAATTATTTATTGTACCAATTGTTTATTAAATACTGAATTTTAATATTTTATCAAATACTGTTACTGGATAGTAACATGCATTAATTATTTTTTTTAACCAAAGTTATTTGTTTCTACTACAACAGCTTAACATTCTGTAAATTTTTTTTGCTCATTTTTAAAAATGTTATTATCTATCTATGACATGTGTTGTTCAATCATCATGTGGATCAA